AGTATAGGATCAAGACTCAATCAAGACCATGCGCACCAATGGTCAGATGGGGGTCAGATGGGCTTCTGTGGTAGGCAATGCTCTGTGCAATTTTTCATGACCAAGATGAGGGAATACCCTCCTGACTCCCTGGAAAGAAGCAACTTATGGAACAAAGGACATGAGCCAGAGCCAGCTCTCCCAGTGCCACCATATTCCTATGTACAATTCCAAAGAGTAGAGAATTCTAAATTTGAACTTGGCAAGATCGTTATGAAGGTATTTTTCACAAAGCAGCAAGATAGAACATATTTTATTCAGTTTACTAGGTTGTTAGCCTGATTTAGTGCCTTTAAATATTTAGACACGTGGCATGTAGGTCTCTGTATGTACTCTAGCCCCCAGCTCTGAAACATTAGGAGCCAGCTTACTGCTGGTGATCAGAATTGTGCTTGTAGAGGCTTCTTCCTGATGATAGTTACCTGTTAAGAGAGGCTGCTAAAGGTTAACAAAGCATCATATCTCAGTCTTCCCAGAATATCTAGAAAAGTATGTACTGAGATGTTAAAACGGGATTTTATTTGTCTCGTTTTCTGCTGAGGTTCCAAAAGACTGAGAGTAAATCAGTAAATGCTAAGTGTTCCCACATTCCTAAATGAAGTGCTAGACCCTGCTTCAGGTATTTTTTCTGCATAGTCAGATATCAAAACTTGGTGCAATAAAATAACACTATTTTATTTTCCCAAAATTCTCTGGATCAGAATTTTGTACAAGGCATAGAGGGAATGTGCCCATGCCACTAGCATCTGGGCCTCAGCTGGAACTCCCAAAATATGAGGTGTGGGGTTACTGGCTGAGATGGCTGGAGTAAGGTAGTGTGACGGGGCCTTGATTCCTCTGTCAGCTGGTTCCTTGGGTCTCCTTAGTGCACCCTCCCCACATAGCCAGCATGGGCTGCCTTGCAGCATGGAGCTCATGGTAGCTGGCCTTCCTACATGCTTCTGAATTCCTCCCAGGGAGAAAGCAGAAGATGTCCAGCTTCTGAAAGGCCAGGCTCAGAACCAGCACAGCATCACTTGCATCATGTTTGGTCAGTCAAGGCCCATCACGGGGCCATGCAAAATGAGAAGGGACAGGGCAGTAATATACTCTGCTTTCCTGAGGAGAGAGCTGGGTGCATATACAGGGAGAGAAGGAAGTGATGGCGACCACCTTTGGAGATGACAGACAACGACCTATGCAGAACTGCAAAGGAAAAGATTAAAGACTTTTGTAGCCCTTAGTTCTATTCCAACCAAAGGTTTAACATGTTTGAAGCTGACAATCAGAAAGAAAGTTTCCTTGGAAAACGTTATTGGACTGCCAAGGCACTTTTCTCAACCTGCTTCTTCTTCTCTTCAAGCCTGGTGAGACGGACTCCAGGCTTCAATTCACTTTCCCAGCTTGGAATCTGGCACTTCTCTGAAATAAAACTCCTGGCATATACCCAGCTGTATACACCCTAGTTAGGAAGCACCAGGCTTCATCTTCGGTACACCATGTTCATAGCAGCATTATTCACAACAGCCCAAATGTAGAAGTGACTCACATATCCATTGAGAGATGAATGGATACACAAAATGTGGTATATACATACGTGGAATATTAGTCAGCCTTAAAAAGGAAGGAAATTCTGACACATGCTATAATATGGATGAACCTAGAAGACATTATACTAAGTGAAATAAACCAGACACAAGAGGACACATATTATGTGATTCCACTGATATGAGGTAACCAAATTAGTCAAATTCATAGAGACATAAAAGGAATGGTAATTGCCAGGGGCTTGGGGAGTAGGATAGTAGGGAGTTAGTTTTTAATGGGTACAGAATTTTAATTTGGAAAGATTAAAAGTCCTGGAGATGGATGGTGGTGTAACAGAATTTATATTTAAGAATAGTTCAAATGATAAATTCTATGTAAGATATACTTATATAACAATTTAAAAAAGCAGTGCTAGCCATAGTTAAGTGAGACCAGGCTCCTGCCAGGAGGAACTGGACAATTGTGTCTCCACCTCTGCCCATCACCACAACTTCCCTAACCAGGGTGTGATCTGTGTTGCAAAACCATCAGCCTCATCTATCATAAATTGTGTAACTTGAGAATAAAATAGTAAATGCTAAATTTTCCCACATTCTTAAGTGAAGTGCTATCAATATGGTATCAAGGTGGCTGGGGTCCTCAACCAGCCTGTGAGGTGGGAGGGAGTTGAGGGAGACTGAGGAAGGAGCTGACCTGGCTGGTGCAAGCGGCCTTTCATGGGAGAGACCACCAGTTGCAATCATAAATTCAGAAAGATAACAAAATTGCCCATGAGGCAGGCTATTTCTCCTCATAGTGTCTGTATTAGTCAGCTTTTACTTTAAACATCCTGTATAACAAACAATCCCCAAACTCTGTGGCTTACAAATATTTTTTTTTCTTGCTTGTAGGTCTGCAGGTTGGCTGGAGAATCTCTGTGCTTGATGTTGGGTTTAGGTTGGTGCCTTGTGTATTTTATTCTAGAACCAGAGTGCAACCAGAGCAAGCCAAACCACACATGCACATTGAAAGACATTGCTTACATCATGTTCTCCCACTTTCTATCAGCCAAAGCAAGTCAGGTGCCCAAACCCAGATTAATGGGACAGGAAAGTGTACTTGCTGAATCTAGTTGTATATACTGTAAATTCACATGGTAAACACATAGACATAATTAAATAAGGAGTGAAGACTTGGGACAAAAAATCATTCCACCACAGAGTACAAAATGTAAGATGGGGAGATCTGAGGGACAGGAAATTTTTGGCTAATCTAATTAAAGATATAAGAGTTTGCATGTGGAGGAAGGGCTGAGAGGGTTCAGTGCTCCAGTAGAGCAGGCTAGGGTTAAGAGTTGAGTTAATCAGTCGCAAAACTAAGCCAGGTTCAAGGAATGTAGGGAAAGAACAGTGAGCAGGCGTGCAAGAACACATGCTGAGTGATGGGTGGGAGAGCTCAGCAGCCTGTGTGGAGAGTTACTCAGCAGTCCCAGGAGCTGAGAGCTGTGTGCTAGCGCCCTCCATATCATTGAGGGTGGGGGCTGGGGAGCTTCCCCAGTGATCAAGGTCTCCTGTGTGTAACATAAATTACCTCTTGGGCCTCAGTTTCATACATGTGTTTTTATTTCTTGGTGCACAGTTGGACCTATGGGGAATATCAGTGCAAAAGGCCAGACCTCAACTTTTCATGGGGGTCCAGTTTATTTTATGAGGAGAGTTGAAAAGAGCCAGGATCTGGCTCTGGTGACAGTCACATTCACAACCCATAGGACTGACCATACACTTGCTCTCTTGAAGGGAGAGAGCCCTGAGAGCTGGCCAGACCTGCCTCGCACCCAGGGGCTCAGGGCCCATTGGGCTGAGTGGGCACTGACATCTCCTTAGCATTCTGTGTGGGATTCTTAAGCGATACTCATATCCCCTCACCTTTTATCCCAGCAACTCTCTGGAATTTCATTCCTCCATGCAGGGTTATTACTCTTACTTTTTAAGCTCTATAACAGTGATGGTGAACCTATGACACGCGTGTCAGAGGTGACACGCAAACTCATTTTTTGGGTTGATTTTTCTTTGTTAAATGGCATTTAAATATATAAAATAAATATCAAAAATATAAGTCTTTGTTTTACTATGGTCGAAAATATCAAAAAACTTCTATATGTGACACGGCACCAGAGTTAAGTTAGGGTTTTTCAAAATGCTGACACGCCGAGCTCAAAAGGTTCGCCATCACTGCTCTATAAGGTCTCTTTCCCACACCTTCCTTTCTTTTCTGTTTAAGTGGCACATGGATAATTAGTATAGGAGTGGGGAATAGGCAGACCTTTCAGCTCCTCCTTCCAGAGCTAGACTGGAAATACAACTAAACTGGGGAACATTCACCCGAAATTACCAACTGAGGTCCAGCTGAGAAGGAGACTTAAATCAAGGAAGGACAGAAAACACCTGGAGACAGGTAGAAAGGGCGAAGTCTGGAGAGGGGCTGACCCAGCTTCCACCGGCAGCAGGTAGAGAGTGAGGAGGGATCTCTCGGCTACAGGAGGATCTTTTTCCTGAGCAGACAGGCCCGGAACCTAGGCTGGGCTCCATAGAGCCCAGAATAGCGGCCCATGTACCGGTAACACCCAGCCATGAAAGGGGACAGGGCTTCCCGCTGCTGGGGAGTCTGGAGCTGGTCAGAGATACAGCCTCAGTTTTTTTGATTTTGTTTGTTTGTTTTTAAAATTCAGAGCATGGGATTTTCTTTTGCAGCTACTTACCAGAAGCTTCAGTGGAGGGAGGAGAGTGCAGACTGAAGGTACCTGAGGAGAGACTGGGGTAGGAAGTACTGGGGAAAGGCATGGAAAAGAGGCAGCCAGGAGACCTGAATTTGATCATAGTTCCTGAGAGGAACTGGCCCTTTTCAGAAGGCACAGCTCAGGAAAAGAAAAAAACACCGCCCTCGGTGATACACCCGGCCCCACCCTCAGAAGCCCTGCCTGCCACACCCTGCATTTTGACCTTTGCAGAGGAGACAGCAGCAGAGGCCAAGCCTAGGGCTTTGAACAGTCTCAGGAAGCATCAGTTACTGGCATGGTGGTGGCATCAACTGCCCCACTAACCCAGGAACCTGACTGGTGCTTCCTCTCCATGGGGGAGCTGATAGAAGCTCCAGGTTTTCAGCTGATCCCACTGAATGCTTCCGAAGATCTCTGCCCAGCCCCTCTGCCCAGCCGAGGGCAGGTAAACATTCTAGGGCACTATCAGAGGAGTAGCTCTGGGGCAGGGAAACACACCCAACGCTTTCCCTGAAATCTGAACAACACCTCCCCCTCATGGGAGACCCGGAGGTCTAAACTCACTAGTCTGCCTAAAGCTCTTCCAGAAACAGACTTTTGAGTAACTAAGATTGACAACTGGCTGGCACATGAAGACAGGTGCAGGTGGAGCCTGGGGAACTAGGGGAAGTTTGCTTACCCATCACTGCTAACAAGCCTTAGAGTGCATCTTGGCCCCTCGCGTGAGCAGCCACGTCCTGTGGAGAAAGACACAAACTGTGGATCACTTGGAGTTTCAAACAGATTGCTGAGAGACAAAGGGCAGTTTCTGACAGTGGTTAGTTAGCACCTAAGTACCTCCCATGAAGTCTAGAATTGGCAAACAAAAATAATGAGCTTCATTCATCAGAAGAAAATTCAAAGGGAGCTGCCAGGGGGTACTAAACTCTGCTGAGACAAGCACCACTTTTTTTTTCTTTATCTTCCTCATCTTTCTTCTTTATTGATTTGTTATTACTTTAGTCTCTCTTTGTTCTTTCAAGATCTGATTATTTTTCCTTCCTCTTTTCTTACCCTATTTTTCTTCTTTCTTCTGCTTTCTCATTTTTCTTTTTCTTATTTTTTTCTATCTGCTTTCTCCTCTACTTTCCATTTCATAATTATTTTCTTCCTGTTTTCTTTTGTACTATTTTCCTTTCCCTATTCTTTATTTTTATTTTCTTACTTTTATCTCTGCCCTTTTATATGCTTTTTTCTTCCCCTTTTTTCTCCTTGTATTTTCTTTTCTTTTCTTCTATTATTGATCTCTTTTCTCCTTCCTAATTCTCTCTTCCTTTGTGGTTGCTTTTGTTGTTGTTATAGGCGTTTTATGTATGATTTTGTTTTGTTTCTTGTTTTGTTTTGCTATGTTTTGTTTTGTTCTGCCAGCACCTGCACAACAGTTCACATGACATGGTAGAGGGTTAGCCTCACAGTCAGCCAGCCTGAGAGAAGACTCCTTCCATGAATAGGACAACAACATTCAAGACCTAATTACAACAGAAAAGCCCAAATAATTCACATAAGGGGCATTCCTGAAGCATCCAGCTCAAGAGATCTAAGAAACTGCACCACTGGGTGCCACAAAACATTTACAACATAAGGCCACCCAGGAAAAATGGGAATCATAGCTATTTGATCTAATACATAATAACAAATACAAAAGGATGAAAAAAAAATGGGGAAACAAAGAAACAAACCCCAAATGAAAAAAAAAGGAGGAAACTCCAGAAAGAGAACTAAATGAAATGGAGGCAAGCAATTTATCAGATACAGAGTTCAAAGTAATAGTTTTAAGAATGATCAAGGAATTTAGTGAGAATTTCAATGAACATAGTGGGAACTACAACATGAAACAAGAAATAGAAACCATAAATAAGAATCAGTTGGAAATGAAGAGTAACAAATCTGACATCAAGAATACACTGAAAGAAATCAAAAGTAAATTAAATGAGGCAGAAGATTGAATCAGTGAACTGGAAGACAAGATAGAACAAAACATCCAATTAGAGCAGCAAAAAGAAAAAGGAATTAAAAAGCAAAAGGATAGTTTAAGGGACCTTTGGGTCAACATGAAACATAACAACATCTGCAGGGATAAGAGAGGGGGAAGAAATTCAGCAAGGAATAGAGAACCTGTTTAAAGAAATAATGACAGAAAACTTTCCTAAGCTGTGAAGGAAAAAATCACACAAGTTCAGGAAGCACAGAGAGTTCAAATTAAGATGAACCCAAAGAGACCAGCTCCAAGACACACTATAATCAAAATGACAAACATTAAAGACAAATAAAGAATTTTAAAGGCAGCAAGAGAGAAATAAGAAGTTATCTACAACAGATACCTATTAGAATATCAGCTTATTTCTCAACAAAAACACTTCAGGCCAGAAGATATTGGCAGGAAGCATTCAAAGGAATGAAAAACAAGTACCTGAACCCAAAAATACTCTATCCAGGAAGGCTATCATTTAAATTTGAAGAGGAAATAAAGAACTTCCCATACAGAAAAAGGGTAAAGGAGTACATCACCAAGAAACCAGCACTGCAGAAATGTTAAAAGGAGTGCTTTAAGAAGAAGAGCCCAGCTGGCATGACTCAGTGGTTGAGCATCAACTTATGAACCAGGAGGTGATGGTTCAATTCCTGGTCAGGGCACATACCTGGGTTGTGGGCTCGATCCCTAATGGGAGGTATGCAGGAGACAAACAATCAATGATTCTCTGACATCATTGATGTTTCTATATCTCCCTCTCTCTTCCTCCCTAAAACCAATACAAATATATTTTATTTAAAAAGTAGAAATTGGGAGAAACCAAGATGGCAGCATAGGTAAACACCGGAGTTTGCTGCCTCGATCAACCACTTCAAAAATACAACTAAAAGACGGAACAGACATCATCCAGAACCACAGGAAGGCTGGCTGAGTGGAAGTTCTACAACAAGGAGGAAAGAGAAAAGCATACCGAGACTCAGAGGAGGTGCAGTGCTGAAGTAAAATACTAAGGTGCAGAGTACATGCGGAGCGGGCTGGCGACTGAGGGTGTGGTTGTCATTTTCAATTGGGAGGGAGTCTCAGGCTCTGAGCTCCAGTTCCAGGTGAGTCTCTAGGGACCCAGACTCATACGGGAAAAGAGGGACTGTCTGGCATCGCTCAGAACCCTAGGGCAGCTTTCTCTCTGTGGGGCTTGCAGAGATTACTGGGACACTGAGAAGCAGAGCCTCTCAGGGCAAGACTGGGAGCAGCCATAATTGCTAACCCCGCCCTGTTGATCCCCTGGGACCCGCCCTGCCCAAGCCCTGCAGGGAGACTTTTGCTGGGTAGCCTCAGGCAAAGGCTAGATTAGAACCTCCCTAGAGATCCAGGAGCCAGGAAGCCCAGAGGTCAGAGTGGGACCATCCAGTTTGAAGCTCCATGGAACCATAAAAGACACACTCAGGGGGCAGACTCAGTGAGCACCAAAGCCCCATCGAAGCAAGTCTAGCCCCCGAGGGGTGTCTCCAGCACAGAAGTTCTCCCACTGCAGACACAGCTGATTCTCACAGCCAATTGGCCTGGAGGGCAATTCCTCACAGTGATAACTACAACAATCAAGGCTTAATTACAACAAGACTGTGCACAAAGCCCACAAGGGGGTGCACCAAGAGTGTCTACCTCAGGTAATTGGGACACTTAGCACAAAAAGGCACTCTATCGACACAGCGAAGCATAAAAAATGCCGAGACAAAGAAACAGGACACAAACAACAGAATTGGAGGAAAGCAAACTGCTGGATATAGAATTCAAAACCACACTTTTAAGGTCTTTAAAGAACTGTCTAGAAGCCGCCGATTAAAGGCTTAGGCCCCCAAGGGAGCTCTGATGAGTAAGCTGGGGTGACAGAGGAGCCACGCTGTCCTGCCTCACCTTCCTGGGCCAGGTCGGACACGGGACGCCCAGGCAAGCCGGCCGATCACTGTTGCCCCACCTGGCCACCCCTGGTCGGGTCGACATCGGACCCCTGCCACCCCGGGTCACAGATAGCAGGCCCAGATGGTGGCGGAGCAGGTGGGATGGCGCTGACCCGCCCTGCCTGCAGTATGCAAATTAGCCGCCACCTTTGTTGGTGGTTAATTTGCATATCGTGCTGATTAGCCAATGGGAGGCATAGCAAAGGTACAGTCAATTACCATGTTTGTCTATTATTAGATAGGATTCTACCCCAATCCTGCAAAATATATATTCTTCTCAAGTACACATGGTACATTCTCAAAGATAGACCATGTTATATAACACAAAATACTTCTCTACAAGTTCAAAAGGATTGAAATCATATCAAGCATGTTCTCAAATCACAATGGCATGAAAGTACAAATCAATTACAATAGGAACACTCAAAAACATTCAAACACATGGAGGCTAAATAGCATCTTACTAAACAATGAATGAGTTACCAATGAGATCAAGGAAGAAATAAAAAAACTTTCTGGAAACAAATGAAAATGAACACACACCAACCCCAAATCTATTGGACACAGCAAAAGCAGTCCTGAGAGGGAAGTTCATAGCATTATAGGCCTACCTCAAGAAATAAGAAAAAGCTCTAATAAACTATGTAATATTACAACTAAAAGAATTAGGAAGAGAACAACAAGGAAGGCCTACAAGCAAGTAGAAGGAGATAAATAATAAAGATCAGAGAAGAAACAAATGACATGGAGACTCAAAAAACACAATACAAAAGATCAATGAAATTAAGAGCTGGTTCTTTGAAAAGATAAAGAAGATTGATGAACCTTTGTTTTGTCAAGAAACAAAGAGAGGGGACCCAAATAAGTAAAACCAGAAATGAAAGAGGTGGAGTAACAACTGACACCACAAAAATACAAAGGATTATAAGAAATTAGTATGAACAACTATATGCCAACAAGCTAGACAACCTGGATGAAATGAACAAATTCCTAGAAAAATACAATCTTTCAAAACTGAATCAGGAAGAAGCAGAGAAACTGAATAGGCCCATAAAAACTGATGAAATTAAAGCAATAATTTAAAAATAAACAAACAAACAAAAAAACTCCCAGCAAACAAAAGCCCTGATCTGGGAGAGGAAAGATGGCAGCGGTATAGGCAGACGCGTCCCAGGTCGTGTCCCTGAGCAAATGGAGTGAGCAGCTGAAACTAGTAACATCCACCCCGAATTGGCGAAATTCCTCAGCTGGCGAGACGGTTTGCAGCCGGGAAGAGCAGAACTCCCCTGGAAAGGTAAAAAAAAAAACCAGGGATTTGGACAGGAAAGTTTACCAGACCTCTGAGCCCAGAGAGTCGGAGGGAGACCGCGTGGCAGACAGCCGCGTCCCTTGGGACAGGCACAGCCCCTGACGGGGGAAAGGAGAACCACGGGATTCCTGGCGCTGCCGGGGGAATTGAGAGCTCGGTCTGTGATCACAGAGGACTGAGCCTAAAGAGGGCAGCCTGAAGAGCTGACCAGACCATGCAGTCCCGGTAAGAGAAGAAGCTTACAGAAACCAAGCCTTCCCCGTTTCCGCAGCCGGCGTTTGTTTGTTTGTTTTCACTGAACCCTGTTCATGGGACATTTCGGATACAGACACTCACCTGTGCTGAAGAGAGGGAGAGTGTGCAGAGGAGTGGAATCTGGGGAGAGACTGAGGAGAGAGGGGGGGCCGGGAGAGGTGGCAGCGAGTTGAGTGCTGAGACACCCCTGAGCCCAGGGCTGAGGCA